TTTTTCGGTTGCAGCCATCATTGTTGTTTGGCAGGCCTGGGCTGTATTCGAACCCTCCACCTTAGGTGTATGTGGCTGGCGCCTTAGCCACTTGAGCCACTGGCACCGAGCCCCCAGTGCCACTTTCACTATTGGTATATTTTTTTTTCCCCCACTTTATTGCCCTTGGTAGAGTGTCGTGGTGTCACAGCTCATAGCAACTTCCAGTTCCTGGACTTAGGCGATTCTCTTGCCTCAGCCCCGCCAAGTAGCTGGGACTATAGGCAGCCACCACAATGCCCGGCTATTTTTTTGTTGCAGTTTGGCTGGGGCCAGGTTTGAACCTGCCACCCTCAGTATATGGGGCCAGCGCCCTACTCACTGAGCCACACAGGTGCCGCCCTGGCATCTTTTTCTTAAAGGTTAACAAAGGATCCAAGGAACTTAAGCAAATCTTGCTATGTTTGCTAAGGGCCAAAAGCAATGGCTCCTCTATAATATATGTTGCCAGCAGATTCAAGTACATGCTGGCAAATGCACTGACCACTGGTTTATTTTTGTACCCCGTTGAATGTTGACAAACATTTTTCTTGTGTTCCTTACAAAATGTCCACCGCCAACCATGTTTAGTCATGGCAAGCCAGGCCATATTAGAAAGGTGCCTCTGCCCTCACCTCCATAAGGAAGAGACCTCGGGATCGGGCCTCGGCTGCCATCTCATGCACTTCTGCCGCATTCACACCCATGGGCTTCTCACACAGGACGGCCTTGCCTGCTGCCAGGCACAGCAGCACCACCGCCTTGTGCTGAGGGTGCTGGGTGCCAATGTAGGCCACTTCTAATGTGGGAAGAAGGACATCAAAGGTCAGTAGCCACCCCCACCTCAGCCCCCAGGATCTGCCCACAACTGAGAAGCCTCCCTTCCCTGATTTAGAGGTCTCGCCCCCAACATCGTGGTGTCCCATTACATCAGAGTCTCCATTAGGAAACAGCTATAGCCTATAACCATTCTCTACCATCTCTCTATTTTCTTCTGATTATTTCCAGTCCTCTGAAGTAATTATAAGCACCAAATCCCAGAGGTAGATTCTAGTATTTTGTTTTGCAAATGAAGAAACTGAGAATGGCCAGCAGAAGACAAAAATGAGCACTCAGTTGTCCATGACAGTCCTGCCTCTGAGTCCAGACCACTGGAGAATGCAGACACCCCAGCCACAGGGTATATTAAAGCCCTCACCAGATTCACTGGCAATCACTAGAAATGTAAGCCTCAGTAGGGTGCCGTGGCTCATGCCTCTAATCCCAGCACTCTGGGAGGGCAAGGCAGGAGGATCACTTCAGCTCAGGAGTTCAAGACCAGCCTGAGCAAGATCAAGACTCCCATCTTTACTAAAAATAGACTTATTAGGCCAGTGGCAGCGCCTGTGGCTCAAAGAGTAGGGCACTGGCCCATATTCCAGGGGTGGCAGGTTTGATCCTGGCCCCAGCCAAAACTGCAAAAAGAAAAGAAAAAAAAAGAAAAGAAAAAAGAAATATTAGGCCAGGTGAGGTAGCTCACATCTGTAATCCCAGCACACTCCGGGAGGCCAAGGGGTGGGGGTCGCTCTAGTTCATGAGTTCTAGACCAATCTGAGAAAGAACCAGACCCTATCTCTACTAAAAATAGAAAAACTAGCTGGGAGATCTGGTGGGCACCTGTAGTTCCAGCTGCTCTGAAGAGTGAGGCATAACGATCGCTTGTGCCCAGGAATTTGAAGTTCCTATAAACTAGGCTGATGCCACCGCACTCGTACCTGGGCGACAGAGTACGATTCTGTCTCAAACACCCAAACACACACACACACACAGAGTCCACACAAGCCAGCCCAGATCAAGCCTGTTGCTACTGCTGCGCCCAAGGTCTTTCTAGAAGCCCAAAGGGATTGGCTCTTCCCGCGGAGCCTTGCATCTCTCATGGGGCAGTCAGGGGGGAGCGCCAAGGTTTGGGGGCACAGCACGTCCACCACCCTCGCCACTCACCCACGTTCGGGTCCTTGGCCAGCTCCTCATAGGAGCCGTAAGCCTTGGGGATGTCGTGCTTCCGTGCAAACTCCTTCGCTCGGCTGAGATCCCGGGCCGCCACCGCCACCACCTGGAGGGTCGCCAGGATCGGACTTAAGGGACTGGAAAGGCATGGAAGACAGGTGGACGGGAGGAAGTCTCGGGAGATAGGTTGAGGGTAGGGAGAGATTACATCCACCAGGAGGGCAGAAGGGGCGATGTGGCCTGGAGGGGAAGAGGTAGCAGGGACTGGAGACCAGGCATGACAGATCTGGGGAAAGCGATTGTTATTAAATCCCCTAATACCCTAACACCTAAATTACTTCTCTTCACAATAGCTCTGATCAAGACACTTTCGAACCTCAAGGAACTCAGGTTTAGAGAGTAGAGGTAGAGAAGGAGTGAGTATGGAAACAGACGTTGTTTCACCTACACCGCTTTGGGGATCCAGACGTCCGGGACCCTAAAATCCCTCCTCTTTCACACCCAAGATCTCCAGCCAACCCCCCTTCCCCACCTCCTGCATACTGCAAAGGGAAAGCGGACCTGGTGCTCGGAGCGAGGCAGCGTCCGCAGCACAGCAGTGAAGTCGCTAGAGATAAGGCCGACTGACACGATTCCCCAGCGTAGAGCCATCGTCGCAACCGAGAGCCTCAAAAGCTTCGGGGTCTACGGGTGCAAATAAAAGACCTGACGCCCCGCCCACAGTGTTAACATCTTCCACGCCCATCACTTCGGCGCTGCTTCTCATTGGCCTCCACTCCCAAAGGAACGGATGAGGTCATTCCATTGGCCTCCACTCCCAAAGGAACGGATGAGGTCATTCAGTTCCAGCGCCCCCATTGGAAGAGGGCACCTTTAAGCTCTACTATACCCGGATCAGTTCTCAGAAGAGGCTTTTGCAGACTTGCAGCCGCGAGACTTAAGTTGCAGGGCTGGAGGGCGGGGGAGAGGGAGTTGTTTGTTGTCAATGCTAAGAATAAAGTGAAGCCGGGGGCGGTGGCTCACAGCTGTAATCCTAGCACTTTGGGAGGCTGAAGCAGGTGGATTGCTTGAGCTTGCGAGTTGGAGACCAACCTGAACAAAAGCGAGACCTCTGTCTCTACTAAAAGTAGAAAAACTTGGCTCAGCGCCTGTGGCTCAAGGGGCTAAAGCACCAGCCACATACACCTAAGGTGGCGGGTTCGAATCCAGCCCAGATCCGCCAAACAACAATGACGGCTGCAACCAAAAACTAGCCAGGCGTTGTGGCGGGCGCCTGTGGTCCCAGCTACTTGGGAGGCTGAGGCAGGAGACTCGCTTGAGCCCAGGAGTTGGAGGTTGCTGTGAGCT